GGTAGACTAGACTTTAAGATGAGTGCTCTGGATGCATATTATTCAAAGTAGTTTTAGAATTTACAGTTAGTCAAGTTTTGGGGAAACTTGACTAACTGTAAATTCTAAAACTACTTTGAAGATAAACGAATCAAATGCAAACATTTTTGTTATGTTTAAGTTGCACATATAGTTGCTTCATTCTTCAGAAATTGCTTCGTTCACGGTTGTCACATCCCAATATGCTCGATTGCATCCAAGAAACATCAAGATCTCAAGAGTTTCAGGGGTCATACTCTGACGCAGAGTCGAAAAAACAAGCTTCGCCTTGGAAAAGAGTCGCTCGACAATGTTCGAGGTGGGTAGGATGCACCGAAAATCGTCATAGTCCATCACCACTGAGTCACGAACTTTAGCTCGTTTGGCGCGCAGAACGTCCATAGCCAGTGTCGAATTTGCTGATGATGCAAGAAATCGGGGTCGAGGTTCAACGAACGTTGCTCTTTCGAACGGCTCCAGGGTCTTCTTTTCGGCAGGGTTGAGAAGGGCTGAGTCGCCGTTGAGAACCTTCACAACGGCGGACTCAAAGTCGGGACTTGAGATGATGTTTGCCCTTTCACCAAGGTAATATTCCATTTCGGGAAAACGTTCGATAAGGACATCAAACAACTGACGAACCTCATTCAAGGTGAGATCTTCACGTTGAAGAGCGACTGTGAAGCCTTGGATGACGTCGAGATTTCGATGCAATGCTTCCAATTCGTCAATCTCTCGAGGTGATGGGAACAGAGGGCGAAGCTCTTGGAGTGTGGCCATGTGATCCTTGATTCTGAAGAAGCGTTGTACCATGCAAAACGTTGAGCTCCACCTCGTTTCATTCTTCATCTTTGGAGCAAGATGCGTCAGCTCGCGCAGGGCTGCACGGTTCTTGATGGAGCGGCATTTCACCATGAGCGTTTGAATGCAGTTCAAAATTGTTTCGCTCGGTTTCAAAATGTCTTGGACTGCAAGGTTCAGACGATGGCTCGCACAACCAACAAGAGGGACACCCATTTTTCTTGCCATGGCTTGGTTCATAGAGCAATTGTCGCCGACCACGAACGAGATTGATTTCATTTCGCGCCCATACAGTTCCAATGTTGCTCGTACGAACTCCACGTGCTGGTTTGACGACAGGTCGGTTTCATTGAGCATGGGGGCGAATGCTAGCATAGGTGTTTGAACGCCCTCGTCGTTGCAAAAGGATGCCAGGATACAGCAGAAGGACGTCCCAGACGATGACCACCCGTCGATGACGATGCCAAACTTGGGCGGTAGTTGCAGAGCAATCTTCTTTTCCACAGCAATGGTCGTCTTGTTCATTGCGCTGCGAAGCGTTGTGGTTGAAGTTTTGTCAAGCGACACATATTTGCGGAATGTGTCGTCTTCAACAATTGAGAGAGGAAGATGCTTCGCGACGATCATGTCCATCCAACCGAAAAGGGTCGTTGCCTTGTGGGAAACGTAGACGTCGAAGGGAGAAGGGTGTTGGATTGCTTGCGAGGCGTCGAAAATTGCTTGAAAGTTGTGGTGAACGGAGGTCAGGTGGCTCATGAGGTTTGAGACTCCCTTAGATCGCTGCTGGGAGATTGCCTTGAGGCACTGCCGACATTCAAACTTTTGCCCGTCAATTGGTTTGAAAAAGTAACCGGCGATTGCAACATTTGAGCTTGGTGGCCTCATGATGTATAATGCCAGAATGATCGTTTGAGTGATGTATCTGTACATTTTAGAACCATTGGTGGCTGTTGCCCTGCTAAAAAGATTGGATGCAGTTGCCCTCCTTATGGCCAGGGTGATCATGATTCACCCTCCATATGGCCCTGTTCACTCAACCTCACCCTCCCTAGGGAAGGGGCAAAGAGGGCCCCTAGGGGATTCTCTCCCTAGGCATTTCGGAGCTCTGTCTGCGGGTCGGACCTTGTCGGTTCATGTTTAGATTAACAGGGCCAAATCATGCCCCTCCGAACGACTAAAATGGCACAGATACTCCGCAAACTTGATTCAACGAGATCTTCAGAGCATTCATCCACGAAGCGTCGCGACAGACCACCCAGATCCGATGCTCTTGCCTACGTCCATCGTGCGTATGAGCAGTGACGGTTGAGGCGGCGGTAACGGAAGACGCAGTAGTGGAAGACTGATGCTGCTCCGCGACGCCGCTGTGCCGCGCCAGTTTGATCACGGGCGATGGCTAACTTCCATCTTTGTGTTTTGCCACCATGCGTCATGCGGTTCCAGCCATACCTCGACGACGGCAGTACTTGAATATCGAACGCTGCCCATTGATTCCCGGATTCCGCGCGGGAGAATGCATGCATTTCGGTCCTCGACGTTTGGGACGGCCTACCTTGAGGCTTCCAAGTTGGCACTTGACGTCGTTGTGTGAAGCGATGCTTGCGCACTCGGAAGGGTGACGAGGCTGGGATCAACGTGGAGATCCTGCGCGCATCGTGAGTTCGCTCGCCCGTGAGAGAGATATCCCCATGGGACGATTGAAATATGTGCGGGTCGGCGAGACATGCAAGTTGCCAACAGGTACCTCCTCTGCTGAGCTAGCCCGATTTGAGGCGACCTCCGTCGTCACGAGTGTTCTGTTGTATGCCCAGGAGAACGAAACCGATCTCGAGCGATGCCCAACACATTGCCACACGGCTTACTCGTTGCGCTCCAAGGCATAGCCATTCGGACAGACTTTTGAGCATTTGTTTGGCCATGGAGTTCGAGGAGAGCGCTTGCATTGTAGGACTAGCCTTTCCAAGCAACTTCGTGAACGCTGTTGGGAAAGAACATGCTTCGAAGGACGGTAAGCGCGCCGACAACGTTTTGCATTCGTACGTCGGGCTGTGACTCCAACGATGCCTGGCGGTTGCACCGTCGTGTCCTGGGCATTCACGTGGAGCAAACCTGTCAAGATCGACAGAGCCAAATCAAGCCCCACCGCTCAACTGTAGTGAAGGAATCGCGACTTTGATCTAAGCGTTTGGATTCAACGAGCTGTATGATGATGTCTGCCACGACAAACAAGCAGGACGATAGTCTCCGCGGCAGGATAAACGGATCCACCTGCTGTCGGCCGTGGCGAACGAGTTGCTGCGGTAGGTGCAAAGACCTCGTCACACCCCGAACCACTTGGAAGAGCATGGACGACATATTGTAGTTGCCGTGCTTGTGGTGGCGGTGGGGCCATTGACCTTCCACCATGTCCGAACAGGGGGAGGGGCAATTGCCGACACTGACTTTACCTTAAACTCGTTTGTGAGCCTCATGAGGTGGTCGTGGCATTGCCATTCCACCACGATGCCTTGCGTTCTTTGTTGTCCATCCCTTCGGGAAGGCATGGAATGAGCAACTTGTACACGTTGCAGCCCCCCTTTCTCTCTCTTCAGCCCAAATATCGTTATGGCGCAGGGGCGTGGTGCGGTGCGTGTATCGCGAAAGCCTTCGGTGGCCGGTGGGGTCGTGCAGGCAGAGGTCGTCGGCCAGCAACCTTGAACAACATTTATGCCCCCACCTCACAGCGCGGACCCGCCATCTCCCAGCTCCATGCTCACGGCCACGCCAGCGCCTCCATGAAAAGCGACGCATTGGTGCCAGAGCTCCAGTCGTGCCGTGTCCATGTGGTTTGATCGACATGGCCTTCCAACAAGAGCATCACGAGTGTAGACAGTCTCTTGAGCGCGCACGCGTTTGAAAGGTGCGTCCTGTGGATATTCAATGTGTCATGGCAACGACGCCCAAGTCTTGCCACCAAACGAATTCACGCGTAACTTTGCAATCGTCCTTGTCGCACGGGGGTCACCCACCCGATTCATTCGACGATGTTCAAGAACGAGGCGGAATACCTTGCCACTGCCGTATATACAGCGTGCCCAATCCATTGGGATGTGTAGGCAGGCGGCTTTCGATTTCCTTTCCTCGCGGCGATGGACATGATGACTTGTTTCAGACGTGGCGCAATAGGCGGGGAGAATGCATCAAGCCGGAGTTTGTAGGACATGTCATGGCTCGCTGCCACCACGAGCAATAAACCCGCTCCCTTGTGGGCCCCCTCTGCGAGGAAGTTCGCTCCATCCATTTAAAAGACGTCGTGGATGGTTGGGGGGCTGTGTTCGGGGATGGATGCGGTACAAGGCAAGCCCCGAGCGGCGCGAAAACCACTCCGTCCAAGCTCCGAGTTGGCATGGTTCGGTCGCTGCGTGTGCGACCGACCAAGCGGGTCATCGGTGAAAAATGAAGAGCCTTCGTTGGTCCACTGGCACTGGGAGCGCAAGGACACATGGGGCGGCCAACTCGTTTCGATGATCGGTCATCATGGGATGCCCACTGATACTCGACGTACGTTTTTATTCATATATACGGGGTGTGCACGGATGCACTTTACCACAAACATTTAGCCGAAACCTCTATAAACCCATTGGATCTTCCAGGCATTGCATATAAAGAGTACAGAGATATAAGGAGAGACAGTGCACAGCACACCAACGACTCCGCTCAGCGGCGACGCAGCATGCTCTGCTGTCGGCACCTTCTTGGAGACGCGCTCCTTCGTTCGAGTGGGGTCGTGAGATATGCGAAACATGGCTCCACCCGACAATCTAAACCGGACAGAGGTAGTACATCAAGTAGCCATGGCATCCCACGTGTACGAGTTCGTGCCATGGAAGAGTGGACGTTGCGTTGCGACCATGGCAACGTCCGCCACGGTGGAAGCAGCTCTGCGGCATGGAAACATGTTGACCGAGCCGGAGCGAGGCGTCGCATGCCGTCGCTTCGGGGCATGGCCTCGCGCCATGCTTCGATGTGTGGGGCGGGGTCGCCCATGTGGTATCGTCAGCCACATGTCTGTTGTGTTCAACGGGATTGTCTCTGGACGTGAAAATTTCACGCGGCAGCAGTCGTTCCCTCGCACGCCATCAAATCATTTCTCAAATCGACATGACGTCGAACGAATGCATTTTCAACTCGTGCCACAACGAGTGCGAAGCCGGGTCGTGGAAGTGCATATTCCACCGCAGCCGCGACAAGTGCAATGCCGAGAACTGCCGCAACCAGGCGTGTGGTCGGGGGTTCTGCGTGTCCCACGGGGGCAAGCGGCCGTGTGTCGCGCCGGGCTGCGACGCCAACGCCCGCATTGGTGGCCTATGCGCCCGGCACGGCCAGTCGAAGAAGAAGCGGTCGTGTGAGGTCGACGGGTGTTCCAAGTTTGCACACGCCCGCCAGCGATGTGTCGCCCATGGAGGAGGACGGCGGTGCGATGCCGACGGGTGCAAGTCGCAGTCGCGCAATGGCGGATTCTGCCAGCGCCACGGCAAGCAGCGTGCGATCCCGTCGTCCCGACAGAGAAAACCATACATGACGACCGACGCGATGGACACTAGCCCGGCCGCGGGGATTTGGAGCGAAGAATTCTTCAACGCAACTTCCATAGCCCTCCTGGAGAACTGCTCACATGACGACCAACCATTGCTCTACATGGACGAAGTCCAGCTCCTCGAGCTGTTGCTCGAAGCGACAGCCGGCAATTAATCCACCCGAATCCTATTTATGTCGCAATCCTGTCTGTGTGCTCGATCAAAAGGGACCGCGCGGGGTGCATCGAAGCCACTGCTGTGCGGCTCTCGTGAACTGCGCCACGTGGCATCTCATGGCCACGCTACATGCACACGCACGTACTGCCCATGGGATGGTGGCGTCCGTTCGTCCGTGTAAAGTCTCGTCGTCCAGTGGTTCTGAATGTCGTTTCGTGCGTGGGTGCGACAGAGTCCGATCGGTGGGTGCTCTTTCTTTCGCGATGGAGAGCTCAACAGGCGACGATCGAGGGCACGGACCTGCCGGTCGGAGCCCGCACACGCTTGGTGGTATCGCACGTCGCAATCGACAAACGAGACCTTATCTGGAGGGTGGGGTATCTGTCCAGGTGTTGGGCCCCTGCACGCACACAGCTCTCCGTGTTGAGATTGTATTTTGTCGAAGTAGCGGCGCCATCGCCCCAATTGTTCGCTTTCAATTCGTGAATCGGCATGGCGAACAACAACCGTTGCCCCACGCAGTTGTTCGAACTCTCTCTAGTTGTTCGACCGGTGGCTTCGCCCCACCCATTCGCAACTTTCGTCTGAACACGCCCCCGACGTATGCGGCGATTGCGGCCCCTTCTTCTCGTCGCGTTGGCATGCCACATGACCGCGTCTGTGTCAACGTGCGAGCCGGGCTACGGAGTGGATACGACCTCTCCCACAGGCTGCAACGAGTGCATCCAAGGGCTGTATAGCGCTGGTGGCGACGCCACGGCGTGCTTGCCCGTCAATTGCCCCGTCGGGTCCATGGCGTTTGCCCGCGCCGTCAACAAGACGGACTGCCACCCGTGTGCCCCTGGCCAGTTCAGCGCTGGCGGGCAGTCCATTTGCCACGAAGCTGACTGTCTCCCAGGGTACGTGACTGATCGTTTGGAGTTTCGATGAACCAAACGAGCTAGGTTTGAAATGCCTGTGGGCTCCAACAACCCAAACGACTGCGTCCCCTGCCAAGCCGGCATGTACAGCACTGGGGCCACAGCCATGTGCCAGCCCACGACGTGCGTGCCCGGCTTTGCTTCATCCGCGCTGAAAGCGACAGATCCCATGGCCACATGCGCTCCTTGCCCTGTGGGACACTTCGGTACCGGCAACGACGCGCAGTGCCAGCCCATGACCTGTGCTCCCGGAACGGAAGGCATTGCCATGGCCAGCACGCCGACCAACTGCACGAAATGCCCGGATGGGTCCGTCTCGACCGGCGCGGCGGAAGCTTGCACGCCATGCGAGCCGGGCTTCTTTGCCGCCTCGGGTGCGTCGTCAAGCAATCTCGATTCGACACGCTGACGGCATGGATGGCCTACAGGTGATGCCAAGTGCCAACCCGCCGCCTGTCCGCCGGGTTGGCGCGCAAACGTTCCGTCGTCTGTAGCGACGAATTGCACAGGGTGCCCGGTCGGAACTTTTTCGACGGGGGGACCGTCCATTTGTCAACCTGCGACCTGCGCCCCGGGATACTTCGCCCCCGAAGGCTCGACGAAGGCTGACAACTGCGATATATGCCCCATTGGCATGTACTCTACTGGCGGCGATGCACACTGCAAGTCCACGATGTGCCATCAAGGGTTCGGCGCCGTGGCGGGAGCGTCGGACGTGACAGGCAGCTGCGTGGCATGTGAGCCCGGTTACTACAGCTTGGGCCAAAAGTCGCCGTGTTTACCCACGGCGTGCAAGCCAGGATATGCATCCGACGTTCACGGGAATCACTTGGCGGAAGCGATGTGCACGTTGTGCCCCCAGGGCTACTACAGCGTTGGCGGCTCGGGGCAGTGCACCCCCGCCACGTGCGCGCCTGGTTTCATGCTTCCCCAGGGTGCCGCCGACGGCAACTCGAGTTGTGTACAATGCCCAGCTGGCCAATTCAGCCCAGGAGGAACGAATGCCTGCGTCGACACAACGTGTGAGCCCGGATCTGCCGCAGCAGCGGGGGCGACGAGTGCTGTTGCCGACTGCAAACCTTGCCCTGACGGATACTTTAGTCGTGGGGGCTCGACATCGTGCTCTCTAACGACTTGTGCTCCTGGCTCCAGCTCGCCTGCAGGTGAGGTCCGCATGCTTCATCCCATTTGAATAACGCATGTCGAAAACGTCAGGCGCTACGACTACGAACGGCCAGTGCACGCCCTGTGAAAAGGGGTACTTCTCTGAGGGAGCAGGCGACAAATGCCATCCCACGGAGTGCATGCCTGGAGCAGCGTCCAGCGCAGTGGGAGCGAGCGATGCAACCGCCACTTGCTTGCGCTGTGACCTCGGATTCTACAGCCAGGGCGGTTCCAACCAGTGCGCAGAATCGACGTGCATGCCTGGCTCAGCTGCGGTCGCCGGGGCCTCCGACGCCCTCGCGAACTGTACGATCTGTGATGCTGGACAGTTTTGCTCAGGCGGGGCAGCGACACCCCAACTCACCTTGTGTCTCGCTGGCCAAGCCTCGCCCCAGAGTTCTAGCCACGCCACGCACAATTGTTCAGAGTGTGCACAAGGCACGTTTAGTCCGGGGGGGTCGACGGCTTGTGCCCCCACGATCTGTCCTCCAGGTGATTTCAACAAAGTTTATCCTTTGCATGCTGCCAACTGAACGACGTGTTTCACTAGGAACGGCTGCGAGGGCGGGCGCTTCGCACGCCACGGCTCAATGTTCGCCATGTCCCCTTGGCCAGTACTCACCGGGGGGAACGATCGACTGCCAAGGGCCTACGACATGCCTCCCTGGGTTTGCTTCAACGATTGGCGCCGCCACTGTAAACGGATCGTGCGTCATCTGCGATGGGGGGTCCTTCAGCCTGGGGGGCGGGTTTTCGTGCAATGCAACTCTTTGCGAGCCTGGATACGGATCGCCTCCAGGGGCAATCGATAGCCGCGCCCAGTGTCGCGAGTGCCCGGAAGGATTTTACTCCCCTGGCCCAAACAGTGACTGCCTTCCCATGGCGTGTGCCCCCGGATCTGGCGCAAGTGGGGTCGCTGCCACGTCTCCCACCAGTTCATGTCACGTATGTCGGGCTGGGTCATTTTCTCCAGGTGGTTCCGCATCTTGCCAGCCCACGACTTGTCCAGCTGGCACAACATCCCCCAAAGTAACGTGACTGTGGTCCATTCATTGGCGCGCTCGTCCTGTTGAGTTCATTCAATCCGTTGTAGGGCGCCGACGTCATCGACAGGCAGTGCACGCCGTGCTTGGCTGGTACGTACTCGCCAGGCGGCGCCGCCACGTGCAAGCCGGCCAGTTGCCCGACTGGGTTCTCCGCTCCCCCCGGGTCGTCCACGGCCAAAGGGGACTGCATCCGTTGCGCTGTCGGGTTTTACTCTACTGGCGAGTCCACCAACTGCATTCCGTGTGGGTGTATCGCCAACACGGCGTGCTTCTCGTCCAACTCGTCGGCGTGTTCGCCGTGCCCGATTGGCACCGTCAGCTCGGGCGGGTTCCAGCAATGCTTGCCGCCTCTGGAGGTAGTCGCTTCTCGAATTGTTTGTGAACTCACCGCGTCCAGGCGACGTCCTACGTCCAAGCGCTGCTCGACTTGGATGGCTACGCTGTTGCGTACTTTAACCAGACGCTCGTGGACGCCGTCGTGGCTGGTGCGACGAGCTACATCGGCGTGCCCGTCGAGGTCGTTGAGCGCACGTCATCGTCTGCTTCGTCGTGGGAGGCACTGCACAGCGGGTCGTGCCAGATTCGACTTGCATTCGTCGCCACCAACGCGACGACGATCCCGTTGTACCGCAACTTGTCGGACGTCCTGACCACCGCCGCGTTCACCACGGCATTGCAAGCACAAGGTCTCGGGCAGCTCAAGGCCGTGCAGGTGCAGCAGCTCACAGCCATCAAGGACGGCGAAGCCCTCGACCAAACGGCGCTGGTTCCAGCGACGAGTGCCAATAATCGCACCAACAGCTTGGTCCTTGTCGGGATTGTGACGGCGGTCGTGGCCGTTGTTGTCGTGGCGGCGTTTGCGCTCCGCCTCGCCAAGTTCAATCAAACGCATGACGCGGACGATGGGCTGGTCGGGGCCATGAACAGGCCGCGCAAGGAAGTGTTTAGCCGCAGCAAGTCGAAACAGCACACAAGTGCCCCTGCCACGATCCCCCAACGACCGTACGTGTAGCCAAGTAGGTGTTTCGGTGCATAACCCAAACAACAAAAACCAACCATCGCGATCTGTTGCCGCCGCTGCCTACACGACTCGGAAAGGTGCGCTAGGTGCAAGACGACAAGACGACAAATTTGCGGAGTTTATAAGATAAGGTTCTAAGTTCTAACATGACATGCCGACAAGCGCGCTCAAGCTCCCCTTGCAACAACGCTCGTGATGGAGCACTGCCGCATGAGCGACGTGAGTTTGTCCTCGGCCGCGGCGGCGGCCAGGACAAAGCTATGGTCGCGGACTTGTGCCAAAGTCAAGCGATCGCACGGTTGGACTTGCAGCATCTGTTCCAGGAGCTCCATTACGTCCGACGACACGATCAAGCCGTATTCGTCGCAGATGCCTCGCAGACCTTTGGACTTCATGAAGCGGAAGCCAGCGTCGGCGGGCGTCGCACGGTCGAAGAGAGGCGTTCCTGTGACCATCATGAAGAGCACAATGCCGAGGCTCCAGACGTCGGCGGCGGCGGGATCGTACTCGAGGCCCATGTACATTTCAGGCGCCATGTAGAAGAACTTGCCGGCGCATTGGCGCTTGAGCGCTTTCATGTCGGACGCAAGTCCAAAATCGCCGAGTTTGCACGTGCCGTTCTTGGTCACAAACACGTTTTCCAGCGACAGGTCGCCGTGGGCAAATCCCTGTTCGTGCATGAAGGCAAGTCCGTGGACAATCTGCGAGAAACATTCTTGGGTGCGAGCCGCGCTGAGTCGATGGTCCGGCTGAGCTTCAAGTTCCATGAACAATTCGCCGCGGACGCAGTGTTCCAGGACAAAGTGGTCAAACCCACCGTCGACAAAGTCCTTGGACATTTGCAGAACATTGGGATGCCCTCCTGCGTCGCGCAGCGCTCGATACACGCGTTTTTCCATCTCTGCATCTTCCACGACTTTGACGCCGCCGACGAGTGCTTTGCGCTTCTTGGCCGCGTCGAGTTGAATGCGCTTGATCACAACGACGTCCTTGGTCTTCTTGTCTGTACACAGCAGGACTTTGCCATACAGCGCCTTTGCCAGCATCTTGTCAGTTTTGTATTGATCCATGGACACGGAAGCGCGCAAAATGCGGAATGGGCTCTCGCGTCCATGACGCCATCGCAACCTGCCAGCAGCAAAGGAAGAACATCGATCGGAGTGATGGTCAGACCAAAGTTTCGATGAAACGCTGTTTAAAACACATCTCGTGCATCACCGGATACAAAGGGGTAGTGTGTCCAATTGTTTTAAACCGTCTTTTTCTACAAACGAACCTCATTCAGCGCAGCAGCCGCGTCCACGTGCTCGTCCGAATGTGCTGGTGGCGTGCCGAGGCGAATGGCAGGCATCGCCGCCGTCGGGATTGTCGAACTGGGCGTAACAGCGTCGTTCGGCAAAGGGGAGAAGCCCCCATGCCATCGGATGGTATCGGAATCTTGGTGCGTTGAACGTTCGGGACCGTAAACACGTGGTGTCCTATTTTGCCTCCCGCCCGCCATCGGATTGAATCATGAGGGGAGGTTCGCGCGCGGAAGAGGAACGTCAAACTTGCATGGAATTTACCAGGATGATGATAATGCAGAATAGGAAGCGAGCGGACGTGATGGCAATGGAAGGCAAATGAGGCAGCGCCAGCGTCGAGTACCTGACAGCATTCCTTGATCGGATCGACACAAACATCAACGGACAAGCGACTACTCGATAGGATGCATGGCACGAGCGAGATTCTTGGTCTTGGCGTCGTTAGCATGCCCCACCAAGGTGCCTCCATCGATGATATTCTTTGGCCATGGATGTGATTTCGCCGACACCTTTCCGTGGATCGCCTTCTTCGTGGCGACGTCGTTTGCGCAAGTTTGATTCCGAGCCTGTCGTCGATTCGTAACGCCTAGGTTGAATGCTTTTCATTAAAATATTCATGTTTAAATGGGCGAAATTGGAATTAAACTTGATATTTGTAAGCACTAGGTCCCATTTATTTCAAATCATCCTGGAAATACTGATTTTATTGTGCTTTGAGGTCATCACAGCACCGACAACTTTGTTGGACGATGAGCCGAGCCAACGGACAGTCGATAGCCTTCTTCATCAAGGAGACGACTGCTTGAGGACGCTACAAGCTACCCCTTCGAGTCATCACGCCTGACGAGCTTGGTTGCACGCTCTTTGTAGAGATTTCGATCAGCATTGCTGTGGTTTCGCTCACATTAGAGGACAGTAATCCGCCAGACCGCCGATGCACACCATGCTGCGGGTTTTTAGGTGTGAGCATCACTTCCCTTGTGATCACATGCACCACTGGGCTCAATTAGAGCTTGACCTTCAAAGGTTTCGTCGAATTGGCCGGCAAGGATCCGCGTGACCAGTCCAGACGACTAAGTCTCAGCGCAGCTTCAGGTCGTGACGACTAATACAAGCGATGCCCTCAACGGAAGACGAATTGGTGATTTCGTTCGTTGGCAGGAGGAGGTGCTGGTGTTGGATGCAGTCGAGTCAACGAAGTTTCGTCGCCATCCGCATCGCAGTGTCAAGTTGTGGGTCGTTTCGACAATCGCTTGTGTCGCATGTTAGCAATGGAGTTGCAAATCTGAATGTAGCAATGGAGCACACTCGTGGCACCCGCGCCTTGCATCGCTGCCAAGATTGCCGACGAAGCGTACGGAAGCAACGTTTGCTTTCGCATCAAGGACGTCCGACAAAGGGCCACATAATTCTCAACAACTATCGTCAAGCATCATCACTTGCCGGGGGGCGGTATCCGGTATCGCTGTGCGCGAGGGAAGTGCTACCCGAGCAGCGTCTCCATCGTTTGCACGTCTTCATGGATCTTGGCGTGTAAAGGTTACGAATGCCTAGTTCAATACGAACGACTGCTCCAATGACAGCGAGCAGAGACTGAAGGCAAGGGGAGGCAGAGGTGTCGCAAGCTCGAGTCTGTGGGACCTGAGACGCGTAATATTGTGGTGTTGAGGTTGCATCTGTATGCAAGATCAAATTGGTCGGGAGGCTGATACCATGCTTGCGAGATTTTCTCAAATTTGCTGAATTCCCATCAGCGACTAGCTCATTGCATTTCATGCGAGAGCTACGACCGATCTGATGGGCAGACGTGCGGAGGAAAGCAAAAAGTGTTTCCCTTGGCGAGGGCCTTGCCCCAGCTCCCCCCCACCGAATATCCCAAGCAAGAACGTCGCCACGGTGCGCACATTCGCTCGACAACCAATTGAAAGGGCAAATTCATCCGTTGGATGCATGATGATATTGCGCGTGCTAACCAGGGTGTGTAGTGCTGTGGTGGATGGACGTTAGGCTGCCAAAGGCAAGTCGAGTCGGGCGGTGCCATGCGACGTCGACACATCGTAGCGAGGGTAAGGACAGCAATAGATTGATTTCCTGCACCTTCAACGTGTGTGTTTGAACCGGCGACGACAGCAAAATGGTCCGGAATGGATCGCAGTGGATCGCCGCGCAACTTTGGAATTTGGCGGAACTGATGGGCGGGAATGGCGCCGCAGGCGTTCAGAAAGGAAGTTTTTCAGCTTGCGCGTGCAACTGGGCGGGCTTCGTAGTGTGTGCACATGGCTTACTGTCAACAACTTTACAAGTCACTCGAATGCAATTCGCTAGGCCGGTCCATGGGCACGGCTGCCACCATCACATCCTCGCCACATGACACAGATACTGTGCCCGCAGCCGACGGCTCGTTCTTCGCCCATGTAGAGTTCGTACTGCGACGACACCGTTCGCAAACTCCCGGACACTGAGCGCCAC